AATAGTTCACATGTGGCCTATTGCAAATCTAACAGGAGTCCGTCAAAGCCATCAGTGGGTTCTGATCAGACAGTGACACCCCTCAGTCTAGACTCAGATACACAGAATACATAATATACCCTATCCACAAGCCTTAACTACAGATATAAAATAAGAGGTGGACTTTATTTTCATTTTTTAATTTTTTGAGACACAGTTTCACTCTGTCGCCCAGGCTGGAGTGCAGTGGAGCAACCTCAGCTCACTGCCACATCCGCCTCCCAGGTTCAAGCAATTCTCGTGCCTCAGCCTCAAGGAGCTGGCATGAGCCACAATGCCTGGCTAATTTTTTTCTTTTTTTTTTTTTTGGAGGTGGAGTTTCACTTTTGTTGCCAGGCTGAAATGCAATGGCATGATATTGGCTCACTGCAACCTCCACTTCCCGGATTCTAGTGATTGTCCTGCCTCAGCCTTTCTGAGTAGCTAGGATTACAGGCATGCACCACCACATCTGCCCAATTTTTTATTTTTAGCAGAGTGAGGGTTTCTCCATGTTGGTCAGGCTGGTCTCGAACTCCTAGCCTCAGGTGATCCGCCCACCTCAGCCTCCCAAAGTGCTGGGATTACAGACATGAGCCACCGCGCCCAGCCATCCCAGCTAATTTCTGTATTTTTAGTAGTGACGGGGTTTCACCATGTTTGCCAGGCACACACCTTTAGTCCCAGCTACTCGGGAAGCTGCCATGTGGGTGGTTATGATACCGGAAGCCACATGTGACCAGGAGGGAAAGATGAAGCAAAATAGCAGGAACAGGCGACCCGGCACTGAGCAGCTGAACTAACTCCTGCAAAAGCCCGTCTCTCTGGACTTGCTGCTCTATGAGAAAAACTTCTATCTATTTATACTAATAGTAATCAAACGTTCTCCTGCTTGCAGCTGAAAGCATTTCTAACTTTTTTTTTTTAATTATTTCCATAGCTTTTAGGGGCACAGGTGGTATTTGGTTACATGAGTCAGTTTTTTAGTGGTGATTTGTGAGATTTTGGTGCACCCATCACCCAAGCAGTATACACTGAAGCCAATTTGTAGTCTTTTATCCCTCACCCCTTCCTACCCTTTCCTCCTGAGTCCCCGAAGTCCGCTATATCATTCTTATACCTTTGTGTCCTCACAGCTTAACTCCCACTTAAAGCATCCCAGCAAAATTACAAACAAGGAGTACTGGATATTGTCATAAAGCTGTGAATGAAGAGCTTCATGCCTGGTTAATTTTTGTGTATGTGTATTTTCGTATTTTTAGTAGAGACGGGGTTTCATCGTGATAGCCAGGATGGTCTCGATCTCCTAATCTTGTGATCCGCCTCCCTTGGCCTCCCAAAGTGCTGGGATTACAGGTGTGAGCCACTGCGCCCAGCCCTGATTCTGCATTTCATTTCCCAAATGGGGTCATCAAGCAAGTTCCATCAGAAATTCATGTCTTCAGCTAGCTTATCTGCTATTTAAAGGTAAGTTTCCAAAAAGGGTAAAACCACGACCCTTAAAGAAATATAAAAATGGGCCAAGCATGGTGGTTCATGCCTATAAACCCAGCATTTTAGGAAACCGAGGCGGGCAGATCACCCAAGGTCAGGAATTAGAGACCAGTGTGGCCAACATAGTGAAACCTGTCTCTACCAAAAATACAAAAATTAGCTGGGCATGGTGGCAGCTCCTCGGGAGGCTGAGGCAGGAAAATTGCTTGTACCTAGGAGGTGGAGGTTGCAGTGAGTTGAGATCGCACCATTGTCCTCCAGTCTGGACTATAAAAGTGAGACTCCATCTAAAAAAAAAAACAAAAAGGGCCTGGGCATGTAATCCCAGCATTTTAGGAGGGTGAGATGGGAGGATCGCTTAAGCCCAGGAGTTTGAGACCAGCCTGGCCAACATAGTGAAACCTTGTCTCTACTAAAAATACAAAAATTAGCCAGGCACGGTGGTGGGCACCTGTAATCCCAGCACTTTGGGAGGCCAAGGCTGGCGGATCACCTGAGGTTGGGAGTTTGAGACCAGCCTCACCAACGTGGAGAAACCCTGTCTCTACTAAAAATACAAAATTAGCCAGGTGTGGTAGTGCATGCTTGTAATCCCAGCTACTTGGGAGGCTGAGGCAGGAGAATCACTTGAACCTGGGAGGCAGATGTTGCGGTGAGCTGAGATCGCACCATTGCACTCCAGCCTGGGCGACAAGATCGAAACTCCATCTCAAGAAAAAAAAAAGGATATATTTATAGATCAGATATATTGAAATGAATGTGCAAATGGAGGTAAAACTGATTTTTCTACATGGGATGATGGGCTGTCAATTGAATGTGTATCAATCAGAATGTCTATCAATCAGTCTATCAACAGACTCTTGTCTATATATATGTAAGTGCTATCCTTAACTGCATCTCATAACTGCAATTGACAGAGTTGTGAAAAAGCTTCCCGTGGAATCTGAATAAAATTGAGGAAATTCAGAGGAATTTCCTCAACAGTTTCTCTGAGTCAGACATGGTGGCATGGACTTGTAATCTCAGCACTTTGGAAGGCTGAGGTGGGAGGATCACTTCAGCCCAGGAGTTCGAGACCAGCCTGGGCGACACAGAGAGACCCCATCTCTACTAAAAACAAAAAAAAAAAAAAACAAACACACACACAAAAAAAACAAAGCAAAAGCAAACAAACAAGCCTGTAGTCTCAGCTACTCGGGAGGCTCAGGTGGGAGGATCACTTGAGCCCAAGGGTTCAAGTTAACAGTGAGCTATGATGGTGCCACTGCACTCCAGCCTGAGTGACAGAGCCAGATCCCGTCTCTAAAAAAAGGATCTCTCTGGACAATGCATTGGTTTTCACTGAGGCACCACTCTCCCCAACACTGCTGTCTTTCTTCACCTTGACTCTAATGTGTATTAATCATAGTAAAATACAGCTTTCACCACCTCAGCTTCTACAAAGACTGTCTATTGACTCCTACATCCACAATAAACTTCTCTTCCTGCCTTTCAAGGTTCCTTTTAATCCAGCATCACTTTCTTTGTATAACCACCTCTTATTCCAGGCAGGCCTGATCTCTCCACCCCAAGCCAAGCCAACAGCCTCCCACATACTCTCCTGACCCAGATGTCCCCCTCAATTATCTATAGCATTCTCACTCTGCTGGCTCCTTTGAAGTTTCCTTTTTGTTTTTGCTTCTATTATCTGAAAGCTACACACAGCACCTATCCTGTTCTTTAATTATAGATGCTACCTCCACTAGACCTTCATCATGAATTCATTCAAACATATTATGAGCAATTTGTATTGCTTCCAGGGACAGTCTAAATGCTAAATCTAGGCACTGGCTATACTGAGATGAAAGCCATAGCTCCCTAGATGACTGGGGGGAAACAGACAATGAGAATGAAACTGCTTTTGCAAAAATTATAACTAAGAAATTTACCACAGCAGTCTGGCCGAGGTGGCCCACACCTGTAATCCCAGCACTTTGGGAGGACAGGGCGGGTGGATTGCTTGAGGTCAGGAGTTCCAAAACAACCTGGCCAACATGGTGAAACTCCATCTCTACTAAAAATACAAAAATTAGCTGCATGTGGTGGTAGGTTCCTATAACCACAGCTACTCGGGAGACTGAGGCAGAAGAATCGGTTGAACCCAGGAGGCGGAGGTTGCAGTGAGCTGAGATTGTGCCTAGGCAGCAGAGCGACATTCCATCTCAAAAAAAAAAAAAAAAGAAAAAAAAAAAAAAAAAAGTTAAAAAGCTTTACAGAAAATAAAAATACATAAAAATATTGAGCACTACTTGAAAACTTTCTATTTAAACCATTGCCACAGGGTTGATAAGAATTTCATGCCAAGTTCTGGGCAGAAATATGGTTATAATTAAGCATTAATCAGTTTGGCCCACTTCCTTGTTGCTAAAAGTCACCTAGCACTAGACACTCAGCATTTGCATTCCCATTGTTCCTATAGATAGGTCGTAAGACTGTTTAACAATTGATTTGCATTCCCGTTGTTCCTGTAGACAGTATCTCTGACATTAGAATTATAAGCTTTTTGTTCAAAGATTGCTTAAGATGTTTCTCAGACCTTGAATTCTAGCTACCAGTTTGAAGATCCCCAGAGAGGAAAGGGGTCAGCATAAGAATACAGGTTCTTTATCTCCCTGTCCCATGACTTCACCCTAGTCTCTTAAAACGATAACAATCTCCACACTATAGCCCTCTCCAAAACCCTTAAAAACCCTAATGCCAAATTCCTCAGGGCGATGGATTTGAGGTTTCCTCCCATCACCTCCTTTGGCGACCCCACGATGACACCTCTTTTTCTGCTGGAACTTATTGACTTGCTATGTGCTGAGTCAACGAACCTAACAGGGTTACATCATTTTCAAAAACAGTATTTACAGCGTTGCATCCGTCAACCAGATGAAAGTCAAGGACACGAACAAAAATAACTCAGGCCGGTGTGCGGTGGCTCACGCCTGTAATCCCAGCATTTTGGGAGGCCTAGGCGGGCGGATCACGAGATCAGGAGTTCGAGATCAGCCTGGCCAACACGGTGAAACTCTGTCTCTACTAAAAATACAAAAATTAGCTGGGCTGGTGGCAGGTGCCTGTAATTCCAGCTACTCGGGAGGCTGTGGTAGGAGAATCGTTTGAACCCGGCAGGCAGAGGTTGCAGTGAGCCGAGATCGCGCCATTGCACTCGAGGCTGGGCGACAGGGAGAAACTCCGTCTCAAAAAAACCAAAAAAAACTTTAGTGGGAGTGTCTTCACCATGCAGTCGTCTATTCAGCAACCTTGACAACAAGCTCTGGCACTCAGTTTCTATTTCCCGGGAGTCGCCCAGCGCTCCGCCCACGTCCGCTTTGCAGAGCTCGCCCCGCCTCCTCTCCATCCATCTTGTGACGTCAGCCTCCCGACCCCGCCCCTCTACTTCGCCTATGTCCCGGGACTGTCAAACCACGTCCGGAAGCCCTACCTCTTCGCCCCCGCCAACATGCGCAGGCGCACGCGCACACGGATGGAGCACACCCCTGAGCCCCCATCACAGCCGCGGGTTGATGCCAATAGTTCAGTCACCGGTGCTGCCCGTCCGCCCCGCCCCCTAGACGCACGTCCGGTCGCTCCACCCCCGAGCCAGTCCGCGCGCGCGCGCCGGCCGCACCCCCACAAAGCCCCGCCCCCAGGCGCGCGCCCGCCCACTGGGCGCCACGTGCTCGCTGGAGGGCGGCGCGAGGGGCCGAGCCGACAAGATGTTCTTGCTGCCTCTTCCGGCTCCTGGGCGAGTCGTCGTCCGACGTCTGGCCGTGAGACGCTTCGGGAGCTGGGGTCTCTCCGCCGCAGACATGACGAAGGTGAGAGGCGACGGCTCGCTCCCGGTCCGCCGCTGGGGCCCTGCCCGGGGGCGACTGGGGCAGCGGGGCGGGTCGAAGCCGTGGTTTCCGGGGTGTCCACGCCAAGTTGCAAAATCCAGTTAAAAAGGTAAATTCTCTCCTTGCGGGGATCGGCCTAGGCCGCGGAGGACCCCGTTGGTCGTATTGAGGGCGCGCTTCCCCTGCTCGGGGCGAGGGAGTAAAGGCTGTAGCCGCTCTTTAGCCGGCCCCGCTCGGCGCGCCTTTGCTCCAGTCGTCACCAGGGGTCCTCGCAGTAACCCGGGGAAGGACACGGCGGTGGGGCTCCCACCCGAGCCCTTGGAGGAACCCCGAGTTTGGCAAGGTGAAAGGTTTTCTGAGGTCCCAGAGTCACAGGGCTCCTTCCCCAGTGGAAGTGAAAGATCAGGGAGTAAGTGGCTTGGAAGAGTTTCTATAGGAAAAGCATGTCTCTCTAGAGAAAAGGGCTTTGCGGAGAGACCCACGTTTCCCAGGATTAAAGCGTCTTCCAGAAAAAAAGTGAACTCCAGAAAATGTCGAAGATCTCTCTCTAGATGTGAAGGATCTGGAAAGGGAATGGCTCTTGGAACCAGCACGTGCTTGGGAGTCATGCCTGAACACCAGAAAGAGTTGACTGTCCCTGCAGAAGAACGTTCTAGGCGGAGCTTGAGCTCCGATCTCCTGCAGACACCTCAGTGGCGGAGGGACCAGTCGCCTGACCAGTGTTGTCTCCAGTACTGTGCCACACCCTATCTAGATAACAGCTTCCCAGGTAGATCCATTGATTCCCGCGGAGTGAACCCTCTTAAGAAAGTTAGAACCTGGCAAAGTTACCATTGCCAAGGAATCTTGTTTCCCTCGGTGGAAAAGACAGAGAGGGCATTATTCTAAGTGTCTGTGTGGAAAGACCAACTGCTGGGCGTGAAGACATCTGGATTTTCACTCAGCCCTACCGCACAGGAGCGCGCCTGTGTTAAAGTAGGTTTCAGTTTCCTTATCGATCAAGGGGGAATAAGACTACATGTTCATTCCACCTCACAGAGTCGCCATGAGGCAGACAAAACACTTTTAAAGTCATAAATTGCCGTGCAAAAGTAAATACTAAGTATTACTAGGTTTGCTTTCTCATTTCTGGTATTTGAGACCTGGGGCTTGTGAAGGAGATGAAGGGAGTGAGCTGCTAAGTGCTTAGAATGCTTTTACCCCTCCCTGGGAAGTTGGTACTTCTCTTTCAGCCTCTGAGTTGACCACAGTTCTTATGTGGCAACAGTCCTTATGATGGCAGGCACAGCCTTTGGCTTGACAGGAACAGCATCCTAAAATATCCGGGATTTGCACTTGAGGATTGTAGGGGGGGGAAAATCTTCCTTCTACCCACCTAGGTTCTGTGACTGGGCCTACAAAAACTGAAATAAGATATATTAACAGGAGAAAAGGATACAGATTTCTATTTGCTGTTTTTACATATACACAGGAGTCTGCAAGAGGCAAATGAAGACCTGAAGAAGCGTTCGGCCCAAAAGCTTGTAATCCTTTTTAAACAAAGAACAATACATTGTGGGGATGTGACAAGACACAGGGTTTTGGGTTAGGGCTACTAAATTGTGGAATAATGACTAGGAAATATATGGGGTAATTTACAGAAGATAAGGGTAAGTTCAGTAGATTTGTTTGTGCAGGTCCATTTTGGTGTTTACTTCCAGTTTCTGGTGATAAGAATGTTCTCCTCTTCCTGGAACAGGGAGAGCACCTTTCTCATGGGAATTTGTATGACCTGCTTTTAAGGAGAGTGGGAGGTCAGAGAGCCCTTCTGCACTTGCTGTTTCTCAAGCGCCTTCTGCTCAAAATAATCAATGTGCCAAAGTGGCATATTTTGTAGGGGCATATTCTGAATTTTTTCAGGATATAACTTGGTGACAAATGGATTTTTCTAAACAAAACATCTTTCTGCTTTATATGAAAGTGAAGCTATCTCCTGGCAATGAGTACAAAACCCAAGGCAAGGTCCAGGGTGGGTAGCTATGGGTCTTGCTTTGGCAAGAATCTGAAACTCTTCAGCAGGTGCACATGTAACTGACCCCAGCACCTGCTTCTTTTTTGGCTTTCTTCTGCCCTTAGGGAGGACACAGTTTGGGTGGAATTATTTGTTCCTCCTGAAATTTGGGGACTCCTGAGCCTCTCTAAGGGATCTACTTTAATTCTATTATATTGATATTTTTTGCTCATTCACAGGGTCTTGTTTTAGGAATCTATTCCAAAGAAAAAGAAGATGATGTGCCACAGTTCACAAGTGCAGGAGAGAATTTTGATAAATTGATAGCTGGAAAGCTGAGAGAGACACTGAACATGTAAGTGTTGGTTGTGTGCTCTAGTGCTTACAGTTCTTAAAGTGCCCCCAAATTGAAACAATATTTTTTCTTTTCTTTTTTTTGAAACAGAGTCTTGCTCTGTTGCCCAGGCTGGAGGGCAGTGGCAGGATCTCAACTCACTGCAACCTCTGCCTCCTGGGTTCAAGTGGTTCTCATGCCTCAGACACCCAAGTAGCTGGGATCACAGGCATGCCTACCATTCCCAGCTAATTTTTTTTTTTTTTTTTTCTTTTAGTAGTGATGGGGTTTCACCATTGTTGGCCAGGTTTGTCTTGAACTTCTGGCCTCAAAGTGGTCTGCCTACCTCCGCCTCTTAAAGTGCTGGGATTACAGCTGTGAGCCACTGTGCCAGGCCAAGAATACTTTTCTATGCCTTTCTGTCAGAAGAGACAATGCTAGGAAGTGCTCTGGCCAGAGCAGAATTGAAAGCATTTTTCTCTGGAATGCGCTTTGGTACTTTCTGTTTCAGTATGGGTGGGTCTGCAGTTTTGGGAAGTCAGGCCATTTCCAGCGCAATCATAAATCTATTGTGAAGGACTGATCCAGAAGAATCTGGAAAGTACTAGATTTCTTCAGCCTAACCTCCTGGCTCAAATTCACTTTCCCCACCCTCTTCCTCCCCATTGCCTTCCCACCAGCCTCTCTACCTTGTTTAACTCCCCTTTTCTTTGTGAGAGACAGCAGTGTCCCTAGGACAGTTAAAAGCAGCCTAAGGGTTCTGCTTCTTCTTGCATGCCTGGAGTTTCAAGGGCTTCTTAAAATTTAAAATACCTGTGAATCACCTGGGGATATAGGTAAAATGCCAAAAGTCTCCATGGGGCTGCAGATCCTGACAGCAGGGAAACATTGTAACTGTAGGCTGTTTTTGGCAGACATAGAAGTATCCACATAAACCACTGCAACTGTGTATTATTCGAATGATACATAGCCTATTAGAATCTAATAGCTATCTAATCATCAGAAAAGAGAATTTGTATCTCCTCTCAACTATCAGTCCTTTACCAGCAGTACATAGAGCATTCTCAAGTGCATTGATTAATTCATTCATCCGAAAGCTAACCTGCCTTCCTTAATGGATGGCTGTCAGCTGCATTCCAGAGCTTCTTTGCTCCAGGCCTCTTATAGTCATGGATCTGTTTTGTTTGGAAATTGCCTAGGATAGGCAGTATCCGGTGTCAGGTATCCGATCTGTAGAGAAACCACAAAGAAAACCTCCAAGCCGAACACCACTTAGATTACTGTGTTTTTGGTGTCTTCTGTCTTTTATTGAAAAGGTTTGAGATTCATTCGATTCAGCGTCAATCTGTGCTCAGATGCCTTTGTACAGCCATGACATTGTTTTCCACTGTTGTTTTCAAATACATTTGTGTTAGATCTAATCTGAAAGTTTGCTAAATAGCTTTTGAGCTAGAATTAGAAAGGCCACGCCTAAGAAATCTGAGCTGGGCATGGTAGATCAGCAGTGTAATCTGTATTATACCTGTAATCTCAGCACTTTGGGAGGCCAAGGTGGGAAGATTGCTTGAGCCCAGGAGTTCAAGACCAGCCTAGGCAACATAGTGGGACTCTGTCTCTATTTTTTTTTTTTTTTTTTTTTTTAAGAAAGACATCTGACTTGAGAGCATTCTGTATTTGGATAAAAACAAGTGAAGCAAGACTACAGAAGCAGTTAGCAGAATAGTGTGATAATGCTGAGTATGTAAGTGTCCCTTCCCAAGTGAGCCGAGCAAACTACTTGTTTTAAAACGACTATTTCTTCTTGTTTTAGATCTGGACCACCTCTGAAGGCAGGCAAGACTCGAACCTTTTATGGTCTGCATCAGGTATGAAATGAACATGATCATTCGGTAAACCCTCAGTGAGCACCTACTGAATACCAAGTATTGTGGCTGTCTAGTCATACTAAATATTTTGTGTTGGATTTTATGATTTTTCCAGTATTAAGCAGAAGTATTTAAGATTAAGAGACGAATTGCTATAAAAAATACTGCATATCCTATATTCCTCAATCTCTGAAGGCTTTCTTTATCCGGTTGTGGCTCTGGCTTACATAGAAATTTTTGCAAGAGTATCCTCACTCACTCTGCCTCTCAAACATAGAAGTTATAAAATTTTGCCAGGATACAAGGGCTTAAAGGAAAAAAAACCACAACCAAATTTCACCATGAGTTTAGCCCTGTTGCCGTGGTTAAAGTAATTGTGTGGGACCTCAGTGAGTTTCCACATGTAGAATTCCCTGCTGGAAAAGATGCCTGAAAGAAACAAAGTGGTTGATTTGGTGTTATCTGTGGGACAGGACTTCCCAAGCGTGGTGCTAGTTGGCCTCGGCAAAAAGGCAGCTGGAATCGACGAACAGGAAAACTGGCATGAAGGCAAAGAAAACATCAGAGCTGCCGTTGCAGGTGATTTCACTTTTAAGTTTAGAGAACCCTGAGGATCCACTGTTCATGACGACCTCTCTTTCCCCCTTTTTGTCCTTCTACCAACTGCCCTCCCTTACCACATTCACACAGAAATCATTCATCTTAACAAAAATTCAGTTCCTCTTGCTGAATATGCTTGGCCTTATGATTAATACAGGTTAGCTAATGGAATTTTAATTTTAATATATCCATACCTTGTTTCGATGTTTTACTACCATTTGTTCACTCTTGTAGTTTTAGAGCTGTGTTCTACCAGAAACTAGCGTGTAGATTCTTTGTAATGCCACCCTGGTGTTGCTTGACTTTTAAATAACACAGAGTCATCAGATTTTACAAATAAGGAGAGTAAGGAAGCAAAGCGTGGCATGCTTGTTTAGCACTAGCCAAAGGCGTGTGCCCACTACCAGTGTGTCACAGGTAAACGCCATTGAGTCACTTAGCCTTAAACAGCAGGACGGGCCTAATGCTGAGGAGAGCCGTGATTAAAAATGCTTTGGAAGACATTTCTGAAACAGTGATAATTGCCTTGATTACTCTTTAGGCCTGTATATGTTATAAATGCTCATTAACTTTACTTTCAAAGTTCATTGAAGTGGCTATTTAATAACTTCTATCTGGGAGTTTTTGCTGACCTGATCTTCATAACATGCTGCGTTAATAATGGACTTTGCTCAGTTCCTTGTCTATAATTTCAGCGCCATCATTTCCCTGTCATTTTTAATCTGAGAAGCTCTTGGCAATTGGGAAGCTTCATCAGGAAATCATAGTGTTTCAGAAATTATCCTAGGAGTAACTGCCACATGCTGAGAGCCTGTACTGCTCTGTGAGGAGCTATGCATTCTCTCCTTCACCCTGTCCTTACCGCCACCTCGGAGTGAGGTATTCTGTAAAATGCACTCACACTCTCATTTTATAGAAGAGGAAACAAGGTTCAGAATGGTTGGGTATCAGGGCTGGGATTTGAACCCCAGGTGTGTTATGTCAGCATGCCACACCAGGCCTCTGCTGTCTGCTATTCCAGTTGTCTTGGACTGACTCCAGTTTTCCGATTCCTCTGTCCTTTCAAGTGGGGTGCAGGCAGATTCAAGACCTGGAGCTCTCTTCCGTGGAGGTGGATCCCTGTGGAGATGCTCAGGCTGCTGCAGAGGGAGCCGTGCTTGGTCTCTATGAATATGATGACCTAAAGCAAAAAAAGAAGACGGCCGTGTCGGCGAAGCTCTATGGAAGGTGATGGAAGGAAATTAGGATGAGGGTGGGCCTCCCTGGCATTCTGACAGCCTGGCCTTTGGGATATGAGCTGCCTGCTTTTCAGCACCCCGCACTGCTGCATGGCTTGGCTGTGACCTCCCCATTGCCTCAGCCAGTTTTAATAAAGTGGTCACAAGCCCAAGCTCTGCTCCTGGCTCTCCGCATGTGCCTGTCTCCCCCGTGACTCCCTGACCCCACCCTGTTTGCTGGTTACAAGGAAGCCATACCAGGCAGCTCTTACGTGAGAGGGAAGAATGATATGACAGACGTGTCCCGCAGGTTTCAACCCAGATGTGTTCATTTAACTGGCAGCTGCTGGCCTTGTGCTAAACGCAGGCATCACACAGATGAAGAGATCCTCTGGGTGCTTGGTCCTTACCCTTGTGGGAGGACCCATCTGTAGGCAGATCATTGAGCACCTATTACATGCCAGCCTTATTCTAGGTTTTGGGAGATGAGGTCCCTGCCATCAGGAATAAACCAGATGAGACCTTCAGCAGACGGTGCCAAGCATAGTGGGGGCCTGGCACCACCCGAGGGTTGGCAGCTGTGGGGAGTGGGGGAGAGTGTGGGCTCTGCAGCCAGTCAGCATGGGCTTAAGTCCTGGCTCCACCGCTTACTCATTGGGGGACCTTGCTGGGTACGTGACTGAAATCTCTGTGCTTCGTTTTCTGCATTTGTTTAGTAGAGTTGTAATACTGATTTCTTTTTTTTTTTTTTTTTTTTTTTTTTTTGAGACGGAGTTTCGCTCTTGTTACCCAGGCTGGAGTGCAATGGCGCGACCTCGGCTCACCGCAACCTCCGCCTCCTGGGTTCAGGCAATTCTCCTGCCTCAACCTCCCGAGTAGCCGGGATTACAAGCACGCGCCACCATGCCCAGCTAATTTTTTTTTTTGTATTTTTAGTAGAGACGGGGTTTCACCATGTTGACCAGGATGGTCTCGATCTCTTGACCTTGTGATCCACCCGCCTCGGCCTCCCAAAGTGCTGGGATTACAGGCGTGAGCCACCGCGCCCGACCTGTAATACTGATTTCATAGGGTTTGTGTCATCATCCAAAAGAGCACATCAAGGGCGGGGCACTGGTAGGCCTTCCAGGCCATCTACTGTTACGTACCCATCTCCATGCTGCCACAGGAAGAGCCACGGTGCCTGTATCCTTTCTCTTCTAAAGCTGGCCCTGCTTATGGATGGGTGGGAATTTGCAGCCCCGACTTAAGTAAAAGAAGGCAGAAAGGTCTTCAGTGCCACATTAGAGCCATTGCCATACACTTTCTCTGCAGTTAGCACCTGGGGCTGCGCCATTCCTGATACAGTGAAGGAGAACAAAACGGGCCTTTCTGTGGAAGCCTCTTCCCTTCATTTATGTGGTAGATTTAGAGTTTAAAAGACTTCACAGCACAGGCCCTTTTTTATGCAGTTTGAGGATTCTGAAGGGAAGTGCCTGACCAGGTACCCTCTGGTTCTGCTCCGTGTGGCTATGTTTTCTGGCTCTTTGCACCATACCGTCCGTCTGCTGCCCTGGGACAGATCACAGAAAATGAACCCAGGTCCTGCGTGCCAGTTGTTTTTGATTTGTAGTCTTCCTCTTCTATTTTCTGTAAGCTAAGAGCGTCTCCTAGCTTCAGGTGGTCAGTTCTTGAGAGGTTGTTTGACAGTCACTTTATCTTTCTTCTGCCAGTGGGGATCAGGAGGCCTGGCAGAAAGGAGTGCTGTTTGCTTCTGGGCAGAACTTGGCACGCCAGTTGATGGAGACGCCAGCCAACGAGATGACGCCAACCAGATTTGCTGAAATCATTGAGAAGAATCTCAAGAGTGCTAGTAGTAAAACCGAGGTCCATATTAGGTAATTCAGGATTGTGTCACAGACTCGGGATGTTACAGCCAGAAGGAGCCTCTGGGATCCTAAAATCCAGCTCCCTCACTATTTAGAGGAATAACTTGAGACCAGAGGTTTGAGATGACCGGCCGGAGGCCACACGGGAGCTGGAATAGAGCTGAGTGAGGTTCTTTCTCTCCTTGCCTTTGAGAGAGAGGGAGTGCCATGGTATGCTATGTACATGTATGTTTCATAACCGTGTTGTTTGGACACAATTAACATACCATACAGTTCACCAATGCAAAGTGTGCAGTTCAATGATTTTTTTTTTTTTTTTTTTTTTTGAGGCAGGGTCTTGCTCTGTTGCCCAGGCTAGAGGGCAGTGGCATGAATGGGCTCAAACTCCTGGGCTCAAGCCTCCCACCCTAGGCTCCTGAATAGCTGGGATTACAGGTGTGTGCCATCATGCCCAGCTAATTTCTTAATCATGGTAGAGATGCGTCCCGCCATGTTGGCCAGGCTGTTCTTGAACTCCTGGGCTGAAGCGGTCTTCCTGCCTTGGCCTCCTAAAATGCTGGGATTACAAGCATGAGCTCCCATGCCTGGCCTGATATGTAGAATATTCACAGAATTGTGCTACCATGACCACAGTCAATTTTAGAACATTTTCATAACCCCCAAAAGAAACCCTATACCCGTTAGCAGTTAGTTACTCCCTGTTTCCCATTTTCTGAAACCATCAGGGACGGACACTTCAGTTGTTTTTTTGGATACTATGAATAATGCTACTGTGGGCATTGTATATAAGTTATTGTGTGAACATACTTTTATTTCCTTTTGGTATATGCCTAGGAGTTGAATTGCTGAGTCAAATGGTAGCTCTGTTTAATTTTTGAGAAACTTAACATGGTTTATTTTGGTGAATTCTTTCTGTCTTTACTTTTGTACACAAATGAAGAACACAGCATGCCTAACTAGGCATGAGATGAGAATTTCTGCCACATAGATTCCCTTAGCTAGACTCCAGTATTGCTGCTCCCAGGCAGCCCTGAGTGCTGTGTCAGTGGAAGGCTGTTGGAGCTGAAAGGCTCCCCATCCAATTCCATCACTCTGTTGGGATCTCCAACCCCTTAAGCAAATCAACTCAGAGAATTTGGGAATTTATGATGAAAACAAATTAACAGGTATTTGTTTGACCTAAAGAATTCTTGTCAAAGTTGTTTCCCAAGGGTACTTCCATTTAAATTTTTTTTTTTTTTCTTGTTGCTCAGGCTGGAGTACAGTGGCACAATCTCGGCTAACTACAGCCTCCGCCTCGTGGGTTCAAGTGATTCTCCTGCCTCAGCCTTCCCGAGTAGCTGGGATTACAGGCATGTGCCACCACAACTGCCTGTTTTTTTTTTTTGTTTTTTTTTTTTTTAAGTAAAGACAGGGTTTCTCCATGTTGGTCAGGCTGGTCTTGAACTCCTGACCTCAGGTGATCTGCCTGCCTCAGCCTCTCAAAGTGCTGGGATTACAGGCATGAGCCACCACACCTGGCTAAAAGAATTTTTTAGTATTTAATTGTGATTAGAGTTAACGTTTTTTTCAGGAAAGTACCTACAGTTTAGAGAGAGTGAAGAAAAATTTATAGTCTATAGGAAGCATAGTACTTACAGCTTAATAAAATTTCTGGAATGGTTGGTATATGTTTAATCAGTAGCAATGTTTAGGTTCTATAAGATATCTTTGATAGAGCCTCTTCCTTATTTGAGGAAGCACCAGAACTACTTTGTGGTCAGCAAATAGCGGTTATGACAGCTCTGGTGTGCCTGGAATCTGTCATACAAATGCATGACAGTGGTCCTTGTCCTTGATCAAAGCGAGGGTGTTAAAAGAAGCAATAGGCAAGTAAACGGGGTTTGCAGAGGGTGCTGCAGGAGCAGAGGGACGAGGATTGCCAAAGAATATGGAGCTGGTGCCGCAATTGTGCACGCCTCTATTTACAGCTACTCAGGAAGCAGGCAGGAGGACCAATCAAGTCCAGAAGTTCAAGGCCAGCCTGGGGAACATAGCAAGAACTGTCTCTAAAATAAAAATTTAAAAAAAGAATATGGAGTCTAGGCCAGGCATGGTGGCTCATGCCTATAATCTTAGCACTTTGGGAGGCTGAGGCAGGTGGATCACTTGAAGTCAGGAGTTTGAGACCAGCCTGGCTAACATGGCGAAACCCCATCTCTACTGAAAATATAAAACTTAGCCGGGCATGGTGGTGCGTGCCTGAATTCCAGCTACTTGGGAAGCTGAGGCACAAGAATCACTTGAACCTAGGAGGTGGAAGTTGCAGTGAGCCAAGATCATACCCCTGTACTCCAGCCTGGGTGACAGAATGAGACCGTGTCTCCAAAAAAAAAAAGGCTATGAAGCCTAAAGCAGAGTCCTGCACATTGCATAGAGTGAGAGGGGCAGGGCGGTTCAGGTGAGGAAGTTGAGCTGAGCAAAGGGAAGAGAGTTCAGCAGAGACCAGGCAGGACACATGGGTGGGGTATGACTCGTTAAACTGAGGCATCGCTGCACTTTCCAGTGTAGGTGGGTGTATATCAAGGAAACACAGGCAGTTCTTCCACAAGGGCAGGACTTGAATCAAACATTGGGTACTAGTTTCTGATTTAATATGCCCACATTGCACGGCTTTTTTTTTTTTTTTTTTTTTTTGAAGTGATTTTTAAAACCGTTTTATCTTCCAATTTAATTTTTTTTTTTCCCTTTGAAGTGTGCTGGTCATCCCACCATGATGCAGTCCTAGTTTAATTATTTTAACAAATGGATGGCAAGTGCTGGAGGAACGTTCCTTGGCTATGGTTGTTGCTGGTCTGCGGGAGTATAGGATTTCCTTCTTGACCTAGTTACCATGGCCAGAAGTCAATACAGAGCCCTTTTGTGTTCCCAGTCTAGAAGGAAGAGTAATATGGCATCAGTTTTCTAGTTTGCACTAAGGACTGTTTCCATTCTGTTACCCACTGATCCCATGTTTGTTAAGTAAGAACTAACTAGTTTTCTCACTTAATCAAAGATGCCTCAAGCTACAGTTGGAACTGTGCGAAACGGTGTGTGACAACATTAGAAAGATAGAATTCAACAATTCTAAAAAAGCAGATAAATAGGATATTTTTTGCTATTAATATCCTATTAATAAATATCCTAATAATAAATATCCTATTAATAAATAATAGGATATTTATTTATTAATAAATTATTAATAAATAATAGGATATTTATTTATTCCAATAAGTAGGTCATTGGAAGATAGCTTTCATTTGCTGTTTGTTGGTTGATTTTTTTTGTCTGTGTGTGATTTTTAGAAATAAAGCAGTGGAGCCCTTACCTATCTTTAAGCACTCTTTGTGGTCTCAGAGCCTATTGTTAACTTTATTTTTTTAAGAGACAGGGCGTTGCTATGTCACCCAGGTTGAGTGCAGTGGCAAGATCGTGGCCTACTGCAGCCTTGACCTCTAGGGCTCAAGTGATCCTCCTGTCTTAGCCTCTGGAGTAGCTAGGACAACTGCACATGCACCAATATGCCTGGCCGATTTTTTCTGGTCTCAAGTTCCTATGCTCAAGTAATCCTCCTGCATTGGCTTCTAATTTCATCTTTATTATATCTTACCTTATTTGTTTTAGAGACAGTTTCACTTTTTTGCCCAGGCTGGTCTCAAACTCCTGAGCTGAAGCAATTCTCTCACCTCGGCCTCCCAAAGTGCTGGGATTACAGGCATGAGCCACCACAGCTGGCCTTCTAACTTCATCTTTAAACTAAAATTGTAGAAATATCTGAGTAGATTGGAGGGGGGAAATTAATCATATAGACCATAGACTATTAGTTGACATTGTATTAGGGAGGGAGGAGATTAATTACATAGACTATAGACTATTAGTACATTGTATTAGGGAGGGAGGAGATTAATTACATAGACCATAGACTATTAGTACATTGTATTAGGTGCCACATGACTTCTCTTAGTAACTCTATAATCTGTTGATGGAAGAGTTATAGACCTCATTTTATAGATGAGGAAAGAGGCTCAGAATCAAGTGACTTGCCCAAGAATATACAGAAAGTAAATAATGGGACCTGATTATTGAAACTTAATGTGTGTATACTTTAAGAGCTTGTATATTATACTTTTCGCTGTGATGAGCATTTTCTCTTATTTTGAAATAAAGGTAACAGTATATTTGCTTTTTCCCTCTTTCTGCCCTATAGACCCAAGTCTTGGATTGAGGAACAGGCAATGGGATCGTTCCTCAGTGTGGCCAAAGGATCTGATGAGCCCCCAGTCTTCTTGGAAATTCACTACAAAGGCAGCCCCAATGCAAATGAACCACCCCTGGTGTTTGTTGGGAAAGGAATTACTTTTGACAGGTATTTTTTTATGGTGTCTGTGCTTTGTATTTCGGTGAATTGTTTGTATGCAGTTAAATTACTTGGTTTATAGGGGTGTTTTTTGTTTGATTGTGTTTGTTTTTTTGTTTGTTTGAGACAGAGTCTCTCTCTGTCACTCAGGCTAGAGTGCAGTGTCATGATCTCGGCTCACTACAGCCTCTGCCTCCCAGTCTCAAGCAATCCTCGTGCCGCAGCATCCTGAGTAGCTCGGATTACAGGTGTGCGCCACCACACCCAACTAATTTTTGCATTTTTAGTAGAGATGGGTTTTCGCTATGTTAGCCAGGCTGGTCTCGAACTCTTGGCCTCAAGTGATTCACCCACCTCAGCCCCCAAAATGCTGGGATTACAGGCATGAGCCACCGCGCCCAGCTGGTTTATAGTTTGATTCAAAAGCATGGTGTTCAGTTGAAGGTATACATTACTTTAAATTTATTAAGCTACCACCTATAAAATGCTTAGTATATGTCAGAGACGATCAGGTATTTTGCATGTATTAGCCGTAACTATACCCCTGTGGGCTAGGTTTTGTAGACATTTTACAGGTAAGGAAACCATGACCCAGAGTTTAAATAATTTGTTCAAAGTTCCATAACTAATAAGTGGAGTCAGAAGTCATACTCAGGTGTGTCCTTTTTTTTTTTTAATATAGAGATGAGGTCTCATGACATTGCCCAGGCTGGTCTTAAACTCTTGTCTCAAGCAGTCCTCCTACCTCAGCCTCCCAAAGTGCTGGGGTTATAGGTGTGAGCCACTGTGCTCTCCCTAAAATGTCTTCAAAATTTTCTGCCAAGCACTTTGTTTGTCCTCTGTGGCTGTTAAAGATTCTCCATGAGGTTGGTGGTGATGCTCTTGTTTGGATTATGCTGTCTTCCCTATGCTTGCTTCAGATTATTACTTCTTATAGCTGACCAGTCTAGCTCCCATTAATCTTATTAAACCATCAGTATTTCTTAGAGTTGGCAACTGTATCTGGTTATTTCAACCAAGGAGAGGCTGAACTGAGAAAGCGGTTCAGTATTTCCCATGGAAAGCATTTGCCACCGAAAAAAAGTTTCAGGGATGCCAGTGAGTATGAGGCGTAAAAAGGGTTACTTAGCAGGCTGGGCGCGGTGGCTTACGCCTGTAATCCCAGCCCTTTGGGAGGCCAAGGCGGGCAGATCATAAGGTCAAGAGATCGAGACCATCCTGGCCAACATGGTGAAACCCCGTTCCTACTAAAAATGCAAAAGTCAGCTGGGTGTGGCAGTGCATGCCTTTAGTCCCAGCTATTCGGGAGGCTGAGGTGGGAGAATTGCTTGAACCTGGGAGGCAGGGGTTGCAGTGAGCCAAGATCGTGCCACTGCACTCCAGCCTGGCAACAGAGTGAGACTCTATCTACAAAAAAAAAAAAAAAAAAGAAAGGCTACTTAGCAAGGAAAACTAGGTCAGAGAAGCACATGAAGGGTTTCATTTTCATTTCATTTGCTTAACTACAGGACTTCTCAGGGTACAGAATGTAGCGTTTTCTGTATTTCATTTCTGATTCCTGGGAATCATGTTACCTGGAAACTACTTTGGAAAATGCCGCTAGAGAACCATAAGATGTTGATGTCCTCTTGTTCATTTTGGGCCCTTTCCCAAATGCTTCTAGCATGGGAAGACCCTGTCAGTGGCATGCTTGCTGGCAGTGTGGTCTCTGTATATTAGCAGGTCAAAGTGCCTCCCTGTGTCTTCCACCCACTGGTTCATATTTTTGCCTTTAAAGCATTGATCTCCAAATGATTTTCCTGGTAGAGCCCATCAGTAAAAGATTTCGAGTACATCCCTTTCAAAATATGCATGCTTTTTTATAAGTTATATGCATTATACTATTGTACTAAAGTGTGTATTGTAAAAACAATATAGCCAATAAAATTTAGAAAGTTAAACTGTTTTTTGGGGTTTTTTTTTAGTAGAGAGGAGGTCTCAATATGTTGCCCAGGCTGGTTTTGAACTTCTGAGCTCAAGCAATCTGCCTACCTCGACCTCCCAAAGTGCTAGAATTACAGGTGTGAGCCACCATACCCAGCCTAATTTTTTTTTTTTTTTTGAGACAGAGTCTCACTGCATTGCCTAGGCCGGAGCGCAGTGGCGCAATCACAGCTCATGGCAACCAGCATTACATGGTGCTTTTATGTGATTGTTAACCCTCAGTTTATGTACTTTTTAAATAAAGTGATTTTGGCCATCTTCTTTGCTATTAATATTGCACATTGTCCATTTCCCCATAGTGGTGGTATCTCCATCAAGGCTTCTGCAAATATGGACCTCATGAGGGCTGACATGGGAGGAGCTGCAACTATATGCTCAGCCATTGTGTCTGCTGCAAAGCTCAATTTGCCCATTAATATTATAGGTAAGTGGAGCAAGGGATTACATCTCAGAGAGCTTCTGGATTCCAGACAGGTGGGAGAACAGAGACAACAGACATGATGCCCCTAATCTGAAAAGATAAGAAATGATTTTTAAATAGTTATCAAGCAGAAGCTATTTAGCTCAGATAAGTGTTTTACTGTCTGAGCTGAATGAGCTAAATGTATCTTGCAACCAGTGGGCTGTAACTGGAATTGATTTGTTTTACTTCTGCAAAAAATGGTTAGCAGTCAGGAGCACAATGTCAGGTTTGTAGTTGACATTATGAAATTTGCCCGATAGTTGTGGCTCGTTGACTGATTGCCTTGTAGGATTGTGGCCAGTAAAATGATGCAACACACAGAAAGCTCCTGGGACAGAAAAAGTGTTCATTATTTGGCAGTTCTTAGTAATAGAGGATGCAAACTCCCAGGGACGGTGCTGGGAATTTGTATAAATAGCATTACTCACACTAATTTCAGAGGAGACAGGGAAGGAGGAGAGAGTCTTAGGTTACATGACAATCCCCAGTGTCATGTCCATTGCACAAGGAAGGTAGATTAGAATCCGGGCCTGTCAGACATAACCCCCTCCTTCACTATCATAGCACTTTTTTTTCCTGAACTATTCAAAAGTCAATTGCAGACACCATGACATGTCCTCTAAGAAAAAGGACATTCTATGTAATGACAAAACCATTATCTTTTCCAAGGATTAATGCAGTAACCTAATTCTTTCCAGTTGTGTAAAAAAAAGTCCATTTTACTTACTTATATTTAGTTTTGTTTTTTTTTTTGAGATGGAGTTTTGCTCTTGTTGCCCAGGCTAGAATGCAATGGCGCAATCTCAGCTCACCGCAACCTCTGCTTCCTAGGTTCAGGCAATTCTGGCTCATCTTCCCAAGTATCTGGAATTACAGTCATGCACCACCATGCCCAGCTAATTTTGTATTTTTAGTAGAGATGGGGTTTCTCCATGTTGATCAGGCTGGTCTCAAACTACCGACCTCAGATATCTGCCAACCTCAGCCTCCCAAAGTACTGGGATTACAGGCGTGAGCCACCGTGCCCAGCCTATATTTAGTTTTTAAATAGAAAAACTAACATCGCCTTTGGTGCCATGTCCCTTTAGATTTCTCGAGTCTAGACCCTATTCCTATTTTCTTTCACGGCATTAACAGTTTTGAAGGGTCTAGGTTTATTTCATGATATTCTGCAACTTGTATTTAAATTGCTTCTTCTTGATTAGAATCGTTAGATTTCTTTGGGAAGAATGCTACATGGTGATATGTACGTCCTGTTGCTGACACAAAGTGTCAGTTATGTCATTGGCGATGTTAAATTTGATCACTTGGTTAAGATGGCCTTTGTGTGTTGCTTCTAGTGGCTCATAGGTGGCCTCTTGTCTCATGAGTGGCATGTTTAGACCCAGCATATACTGTGTGCTTTCATATATTCTTTCCAATAGGTCTGGCCCCTCTTTGTGAAAATATGCCCAGCGGCAAGGCCAACAAGCCAGGGGATGTTGTTAGAGCCAGGAACGGGAAGACCATACAGGTTTGTACATGTAAGACACAGCACTGCCCATCTGGTATTCCTCAGGAATCCCACAGTAGCCACGTAACCACAGCTTGAATGGGTGCAGAGCCCCAGCACCATATGAGGGGAGAGTGCTGTCTTTAGTAGCTTTTCTTTTCCTTTCCTGTAGTAGGGTCTTGCTGTGTCACCCAGGCTGTAATGCCGTGGCGTGAGCATGACTCACTGCAGCCTTGTCCTCTCCAGGCTCAGGTGATCCTCACACCTCAGCATCCTGAGTAGCTGGGACCACAGGTGCACGCCACCATGCCTGGCTAATTTTTTGTATTTTTTGTAGAGACAGGGTTTTGCCATGTTGCCTAGGCTGGTCCCAAACTCCTAGACTCAAGCGATCAGCCCACCTTGGGCTCCAAAGTGCTAGGATTACAGACATGAGCCACTATTCCCAGCACCTGAGTAGCTTTCCTTGCAAAGGCAGAAGTATCTGTTTTTGGGATTTTGAAGAATGTTTTTCCAGACTTATTGTTCATCCCACTTCCTGTATGCTGTACACACACGTTTCCATGAATTTGCAGCCAGCCCTGCAGAGTGCAGCAAAGCAGTAAAGCTGTGGGCTGTCATCCGGATATACCTGTGCTATGAGTGACTTTTTTCCATTTTGGGTATTGAGGTGGAAAACACTGTCCTACACCATGGGCCCTGCATTGAAGGGGATGTAGCAGCAGGTCCTCCGGGTGGCATGTGCATGCACGTGTGTACAAGCCGCCCATGACGACTGGACCGCCATTTAAAAGAAGGGAATATAGGCCAGGCGCAGTGGCTCACACCTATCACCCCAGCACTTTGGGAGACTGAGGCAGGCGGATTATGAGGTCAGGAGATCGAGACCATCCTGGCTAACATGCTGAAACCCTGTCTGTACTAAAAATACAAAAATTAGCCGGGTGTGGTGGTGTGCGCCTGTAGTCTCAGCTCCTTGGGAGGCTGAGGCAGGAGAATCCCCTGAACCCGGGAGGCAGAGGTTGCAGTGATACGAGATCTCGCCACTGCACTCCAGCCTGGGCAACAGAGTGAGACTCTGTCTCAAAAAAACCACAAAAAAAGGGGAATATAGTTAGGAAGTGTTACTAAAGTTGCAAGAGTTCTCATTTCTAGGATTCACACTGCTATGTAGCTGTAGGTTTCTTAAGCTCTTTAACCTTGTTTTCAGAAATCTTTACATTTTTCCTCTTCATGTTATGAAGTTGTGGGTAAAATGGACTAGATATTTTTCTATTTATTTTGGCTTCCAAAGCCATCAACCTTAGGTCATCAGCTCTGGCACAGGTATTATTATATTATTATTATTATTATTTAATTTTTAATTATAGATGAGTTTTCACCATCTTGCTCAGGCTGGTGTCAAACTCCTGGGCTCAAGCCACGTACCCACCTCTGTCTCCCAAGGTGCTGGGCGATTATTAAATCATATTTACTCTCCAGATTAGATATGTTCCTATTCTCATTGAAGTGTATGAATGGCTTTGATAATGACACACGTCACAGTGGCTTTTTCCGAATTTTCCATTGAAAACAATTGCTGGTGTCTAGTTTTCACATTCGTTACCCATGCTGTCACCCTTTCTGTTTTTGACGCTCTGCAGGTTGATAACACTGATGCTGAGGGGAGGCTCATACTGGCTGATGCGCTCTGCTACGCGCACACATTTAACCCAAAGGTCATCCTCAATGCCGCCACCTTAACAGGTCAGACTGCACACTTGCCTTGTTTTTGTTTGAAGGAAGTCTTGCTTGTTGCATGGGTTTCACACACTATAATTGGGACATTATTTTGCCAAAATTTGGCTCTGTCCATTCACATTCAAAGATCTTTCACCAGAGGAATTGGTCTGTAGTTGTAAACTGTTTGAATATTAGGTTCATTGTTTTAAAACATTCCAGGCTGTACCTTTATTGTTTTTTATTTTTTTTTTTTTTGAGATGGAGTCTCACTCTGTCGCCCAGGCTGGAGTGTGGTGGTGTGATCTTGGCTCACTGCAACCTCTGGCTCCTGGGTTCAAGCAATTCTCATGCCTCAGCCTTCCGAGTAGCTGGGATTACAGGCGTGCATCACCACGCCCAGCTAATTTTTGTATTGTTCTGAGACAGAGTTTCGCTTTTTTCGCCCAGGCTGGAGTATGATGGCACGATCTTGGTTCACTGCAACCTCCACCTCCTGGGTTCAAGCAATTCTCCTGCCTCAGCCTTCTGAGTAGCTGGAATTACAGGCGCCTGCCATCACGCCCAGCTAATTTTTGTACAGGGTTTTTGCCATTTGGCCAGGCTGATCTCGAACTTCTGACCTCAGGTGATCCACCCGTCTTGGCCTCCCAAAGTGTTGGGATTACAGGCATGAGCCACTGTGCCTGGCCTGGGCTGTACCTTTAAAACAAGAAATAGCAAGTGGGCCAGATCAGCTCATCTAGAGTGACATATAAAAATAATGTTAAGAGATGGTTTTGGGCCAGGTGCAGTGGCTCAGTCCTATAATCCCAGCCCTTTGGGAGGCTGAGGCAGGCAGATCACGAGGTCAGGAGATGGAGACCATCCTGGCTAACATGGTGAAACCTCATCTCTACCAAAAATTTAAAAATGAGCTGGGCGTGGTGGCATGCACCTGTAATCCCAGCTACTCAGGAGGCCGAGGCAGGAGAATCACTTGACCCTGGGAGGTGGAGGCTGCAGTGAGCCGAGATTGTGCCACTGCACTCTAGCCTGGGTGACAGAGTGAGACGCTATCTTAAAAAAAAAAAAAAAGAAAGAAAGATGGTTTCTGTTACAATTAGCATTTAATACAGATCTGAAAAGATTCATGATAAATCCACAAATCAATAGTTTTCTTTTACTTTTTTAAACTAATTATAACGTATCTGATATCCTCTGAGTTTTCAGAGCTTTTCTTTTTTGTTTTCCCAAGAACTTTTTATACTTGATCTTATAATAAACACATTTTATAAGGTAGCAAGATCCTCATTTAACAGAAGTGAAACAGTGTGAAGCCTGAGCTTTAAGGCCAGGCTCATGGGGGACTCCCAGCTGTGCCACTTACTAGTCAGTCAGCCGTGGGCAAGTTCCTTGGCCCTTTTGAGCATTAGTACTTGGGGACAATTCCATTTGCCTGGAGGAGTTGTAAAGACTAGAGGGAGTTTTTGGAAAGCATCTTTAACACAGGTTGTGACACCATCAACACTGGAGGGCCGGGAATAAATTCCTAAAGGGATGACAAACAAGTGTTGTCTTATTGCCAAATCGCAATGTTTATAATCTTTCATCTAAAAGTTCTCTTCTAGTAATTTATCCTGACTCTACTTCCCTTTTTTTTTTTTTGTCTTGAGATGGAGGCTCGCTCTGTCGCCCAGGCTGGAGTGCAGTGGCGCAATCTCAGCTCACTATAACCTCTGCCTCCCGGGTTCAAGCGATTCTTCTCCCTCAGCCACCTGAGTAGCTGGGATTACAGGCGTGCGCCACTATGCCCGGCTAATTTTTGGATTTTTAATAGAGATGGGGTTTCACCATGTTGGCCAGGATGGCCTCCCAACTCCTGACCTCATGATCCACCCGCCTTGGCCTCTCATAGTGCTGGGATTACCGGCATGAGCCATTGTGCCCAGCCTTCTACCCCTTTTTTTAAAAAAATTAATTTCTGAATCTTAAAGTCATACTCTACTTCTTTTAAGAGGAAAATTAGATCATTTTGTATCCTTTGGTTTTATTCTTGCCCTGATCATGTTGAACCTTTACTTTAGCAGAAATCATGTTCACTTTTATGCGTCGGTCTAAAAATAGTCCACAGGTCTATTGCTAAGAGTTCTTTTTCAAAGCTGGCATTGTAGTGTTTTCGTGGTTTTTGGTCTCCCTATTCAGTTTAGCAAACACTTTAAGCTGAAAAGTAGAGGTTCTCTGGTGGGGGGTTGGCAGGGAGGCAGTGGCGGTGAAGCAGGTACCCCCTCACTATAAATGAGGAATCACAGAGGATAGATACATCAGACACATCCAAGTTTTACAACTTAAAAATAACTTTCATAATTACCACTTGAGAAATACTTTTCCTAGATGCTTAGTAGCAGCATCCTACTTCACTTTTTTTCTTAGTCTGAGAGGTTGAGAAGGTAGGAAGGTTGGTAACCAAGGGTGACCTTATGGGTAATGGTTCAGACCGCGCTGGGTGATGGTTCCCTAAATACTGCTGAGCCCCTTCTGAGTTCTAGAAGGTCAGGTTCAAAGAGGAGAATAAGAACCAGTTTCTAACCTAAGGCTCTTGATAGGAAGAAGTACACAGTCTTCAGAAATAAAAGACCTGATTTTAAAACTTGTCCTACTTTTTAATAGCATGTGACTTTGGACTAGGCTTTAGTTGTCTCATCCATAAAAGGGATATAATAGCACTTTGTTTACAGGAAGGATTCCTGCGAAGATTAAATGAGATGATACAGGTTGATGTCTCTGGCCCAGAATATCACAGACACTGAACAAACGTTAGTGTCCTTTGAAAGACAGGCCATACTCCAAATTGTAGGAAGAGTGACATATTTGGGGATGGCTATCCAATCACGGTGCTTCTCTTCATTTTCTTACTGCATAGGCATAATTTAGGATTCAATGAGTGTGGTGCTATCCTCACTTTCCTTGGGGCTTTGATTCTTCTAGATTATGAGCAATTCTGGTAACATCGATCGGTGAGCATCACAACACAGGGCTCCACATGTGCCTTATAAATGAAAATGGGGAGTATGCCTCTGCTACTAGTAGTTCTGAAATGGGTGGTGGTAATAGTTCTGGAATTATAGAAAATAAACTATTTAAATATATAATGAAATCATCTTTAGAGCCGTGGTCCCAAGTGGACCAAATTAAATATTTATGTCTGCATTTTCTGTTACTTTAAGGAAAGGTAGCATGTTCTTGTTTGAGGGGGATTGTCCATCTTTTCTATGACAATTTTAAAACTAACAAATGACTCTTACGGAGTTGATTGAAATATTTTGAGGACAAGTGAATAATTATGTAAAAACCCACCAACTTGTAAAGTATCAATGGGTATATATATGTTGTCCCTCAGTATGCATGGGGGACTGGTGCCAGCATCCCCTCTCAGATAGCAAACCCACAATGCTCACATCCTTTATGTAAAATGGCGCAGTATTTATCTATAACCTGTGTACTTCCTCCAGTATACTTAAGTCATCTCCAGATTACTTACACTACTTAATACAATGTAAATGCTATGTAAGTATTTGTTACACTGTATTGTTTAGGGAATAATGACAAGAAAAAAAAGTCTGTATGTTTCGGTACCCATGCAACCATCTCCCTCCCTTAAAAATATTTTCTGTCTGCATTTGGTTGAATCCCTAGAAGCAGACCACATGGATATGGAGGGTCGACTAGTTAGTAGTATCTTCAAGTTTCAGTTTTCCTTGGGAGAGATGCTAATGAGCAGTTTCATGTAAAGACATGGTTAAGAATTTAAGGAGCAACCTGGCCATACTTTGCATTACAGGGAAGAAATGCCACTTTGTGAAGACATAGCCCAGTTTCAGTGCTGTCTCCTCTGACATTCCATATGCCTGTGCTGGTATTGGCGGTGGGCTCAGTGCTTGTCCTGGTACTGAAGGGTAGTAAGGTTCGCTTTTCCTTTCAATGAATACTTAAGCTTCTTTATGCCAGGCAACGTGCTTGCTGGGCCCACTTGACTTCCTCACATATGAGCCAGGCAGGTAGCAAACGAGACTGTTGGAAGCCAATACCACAGCGAAAGGAGGCAGCACTAAGGGGCTGTACCTGATTGTCTCTTCTCAAGAGGACCTGCAAATCTGCATTGTTAAGTTGATTTTTTACAAATATGCTAATTAATGTAAAAATAGAACTCAGCCAATGGGACACAACTTTGTTGGAGGAAAAAAACTAAAGATGAAACAAGTAAATATGATGCAGTCATAACAGACATCAAATTCTTATAGCAATACTTACTGAGATGTGATTAAAATTACTGACAAATTAGATTCCTCAATGACAGTAGTACGTAAATTATGATACCTCCATATGGTGGGCTTCTTTTTGTTGTTGTTGAGACGGAGTCTTACTCTGTCACCAACCTGGAGTGCAGTGGTGCAGTCTCAGCTTCCTATAACCTCCGCCTCCAGGGTTCAAGCAATTCTCCTGCCTCAGCCTCCTGAGTGGCTGGGACCGTAGGCATGTGCCACCATGCCCAGCCAATTTGTGTATTTTTAGTAGAGACGGGGTTTTGTCATGTTGGCCAGCGTAATCTCAATCTCTTGAACTTGTGATCCGCTCACCTTACCCTCCCAAAGTGCTGGGATTACGGGCTTGAGCCACTGTACCTGGCCCAACTATTTTTAAATAATTAAAGATACTTTCAAACATTTGTTTATAAAAGAGGAATTTTTTTCTTTTTCTTGAGACAGAGGCTCACTATGTTGCCCAGGCTGGAGTGCAGTGGCACGATCTCAGCTTACTGCAACCTCTGCCTCCTGGGTTCAAGTGATTCTTCTGCCTCAGCCTTCCAAGTAGCTGGGATTACAGGTGTGTGCCACCACGCCTGGATTTTTGTATTTTTAGTAGAGATGGGGTTTCACCATGTTGGCCAGGCTGGTCTTGAACTCCTGACCTCCAGTGATCCACCTATCTTGGCCTCCTAAAATGCTGGGATTACAGGGGTCAGCCACCACACCTGGCCAAAGAGGAATAAAATTTTAAGGCATAAAAGGAAGAACACATGCTTGAGCACATATAGGATGGCGTTAAGTGTTTTTTATGAAAGTGTAGAAGTTGGGCTGTGCATGATAGCTCATGTGTGTAATCCTAGTGCCTTGGGAGGCTGACATGGGAGGAACACTTGCGCCCAGGAGTTCAAGACCAGCGCGAACAACATAGTGAGACCCCATCTCTACATTTTTTTTTTTTTTTTTTAGACAAGTCTCACTCTGTCGTCTAGGCTGGAGTGCAATGGCACTATTTTGGCTCACTGCACTGCAACCTCTGCCTCCTGATTTCTAGCGATTCTTTCTGCCTCAGTGTCCTGAGTAGCTGGGATTACAAGCATGCGCCACCATGCCCAGCTAATTTTTGTATGTTTAGCAGAGATGGTGTTTCACCATGTTGGCCAGGCTGGTGTCGAACTCCTGACCTCAGGTAATCTGCCTGCCTCGGCCTCCCAAAGTTCTGGGATTACAGGTGTGAGCCACCATGCCCAGACCAAAAAGAAATTTTTAATTATCTGGGCATGGCGATGTGTACCTGTAATTCCAGCCACTCAGGAGGCTGAGTCGGAAGGATCACTTGAGCCCATGAGTCTGAGGCTGCATGTAGTGAGCTCTGATCACACCAGTGCACTGCAGCCTGGGTGATAGTGAGAGCTCTCTCAAAAAAAAAAAAAGTAGAGGTCTGAAGGAAATATGAAAAATAAGTAACAGTTATCCCTAAAATGAAATTATTGGTAAAATTCAGTAGCTTTTTTTTTTTTTTTTTTTTTTTTTTTTTGCATTTCTAATAATTTAAGTGAATTCTGGCTTGAAAAACATAAAAATATGTTAAGTATGTACAGGAAAGTTTTTAAGCTTATCTATTTTTGAAAATGAGGAAGCCACTAAATAGGGTAAGTACTAAGGTTTGTTTGGCTCTCCATGGCAAGAGCCCATTCTGCCTGGAGAGACTGCACTTGACCTGAGGCCTTGTGTCTTATAGGTGCCATGGATGTAGCTTTGGGGTCAGGTGCCACTGGGGTCTTTACCAATTCATCCTGGCTCTGGAACAAACTCTTCGAGGTAGGAATAATATTTGTATATCTAAATGGTGGGGTTGATGAATAAATTATTCTAGCCTTAGGAGGATAGACTTCTTCAACCCCTGTGTTAAAATGATTTTTATGCTGCAGGTTTGGAATTGAAAATTAACCACAGCAATACATTCAGTTCGGTAGTGTTGGGTTTTCCACACATGCTCCTAAAGGAGGGGTTGAAGCCACCCTGCTCTCCTCCGGTAGCCCCAGAATCATGTGAAAATGTCTTACGAACTCTGTGGCCATGGTTTAGAATCCCTGAGGTAGAAATGGTTTTGAAGACGGCTTTGTGGAGCAGTGTTTGTGACTGCTTGCTGTGAGTCATGTAAGGAAGCTCACCCTGCAGCGATGAGGATGTCTTCAGACCGCTGTGCTCTGCGCCTCCCTCCATGACCCTCACAGCCAGCCTCTTCTCAGCAGTCACCCTCGTTTACACACACACACACACACACACACACACACACACACACACACTCTCTCTCTCTCTCTCTCTCTCTCTCTCTCTCTCTCTCTCTCTCTC